TCAAAAGGAAGGAACTTCGGTAACACATCCTCGTCTCCACCGGCTCCACTCTTGGTTACCTCGTGCCTTTACTTGTGCAAGCTTATTTGTGTTGTATCCCTTGCTTGCTTTTGTGCTAGTCATTGTTGCATCATATAGGTTGCTCACCTAGTTGCATATCTAGACAACCTACTTTGATGCAAAGTTTAATTTGGTAAAGAAAAATATAAAAAGTGTTAGTTGCCTATTCACCCCCCCCCCCTCTAGTCAACTATATTGATCCTTTCAGACGAGATATTGAAATACAAAGGAAGTGGACGGCGGGCGCCGTTGTAAGATAGGTTTAGGTCCAGCCGCTTTTTTAATGAAAAATGTCCGAAATGTAATGAAAGTTCTTCGATTTATATGAAAATCAGCTGGTTTGCATGAATTTCGTCTGGTCTGTTGAAATGCAGTTTGAATTGTATGCAGATAGCATTGGTTGACCGGCTCCCGCATCTATGTCCAAGGACGGATGCGGGACGAAATTTGGGGGTCAATGTTGGAGATGCCCTTATACCACATCGGCAAAGACATATGTTGTTCTCTCGTGCCTAAATCTTCCACCACCACTATCCTAGATACTCTATGTGAGATTTAATTTCCGAAAACCCTAGCAGCATTCCTCTTTTGTTCTCTGGCACAGCGGGACAAATTGATCTCTTTTTTAGGGGAAAACACCATCAAGGAGGTTTATATTGCATGCTCAAATATGTATACATCGTTCGATAAGGTATCAATTAGAAAGTGATTGTCTCTTTTGTTTTCAGGGTTATTATAGGTGAGTAGATGTGGTGGTAGTTTAGTCATAAATCTGTACAACTTTGAAGGCAAAGAGATATACCTCTTGGTTTTAAGTGGCTTTGGCTCAACAAGCAGTCTTGTCTTTACCCCAGCTCAGTTTCATTGTGAAGGAAGTGGTGGTGGAAATAAGTCAAATCCAACCCCCAAAACAATTTATTTTGGGCTTTTCGCTTAGTTTCATAGTTAAGCCGCTATAACTTGCAAAAGTAATGGGCCTTAGATTGTGTATTTGATGTTATTTTCTTGTTTTTCTATCTCTATTCGCGGAACGTGCGATCTTTTTTGTTATTTTTTATATACACAAAGAAATATATCCTTTGTGAAGTATACATGGTGATCTGGTTTCTTGTCGGATTCAACAAAGAGTTGTGTGCTTGTAGATGAAGGAGAAGAATATTTATTTTATTTTGGAGAAAATACAACCAAAGAACATATTATAACTGAAATTTACTAAGTAAAACAGAATACAATGAAAAGACAGCAAGACACAGAATAATCACACAAAAAATTACATAAAAGACCACATCATCCGTATTCTATAAAAGGACGGATATGATTTGCCTCCGTTGTCATGGCAAATAGGATTTGCCTCTCTCTCCTTCTTTTTTTCTTTTTTCCCCGCAAAACAAAAGAGGGAGGCAAAAAATTTCCCCGGAAAACAAAAGAGGGAGGCAAATCCTATTCGCCACGCTTTGTGCGAAGGAATGTCAGTGCAGCAAGGTTCTCTACCTTGGTTCCTCGATTTTAGGAACAGTCCGGAAGGTTCCAGTCCATTTTGGCCGGTTTAGTTGTTTCCTTTACTTGGTTTTTTCTAGGGTTTTCCGTATTTCCTTTCCTTTTCGTTTATTGTTTTTCTTGTTTTTTATTTTTTTTATTAACACATACATTTCAAAAATAGTCATGATTATATAAAAAAAATGTTCACAATTCCGAAAACAATGTTTGAGTTTTTCATGAAATTTTTGGAAATTTCAAAAAAAAATCATGTTTTCAACACCAACTCGCAAATTAAAATAAAATGTCTGTGTTTTAAAAAAAATCAAAATTTAAAATATCATGTTTCCAATATGTTTGCCCATCTGTCTTTTAAACAAATATTCAAAATTTGAAAATTTGAAAATACAGGTCCACCTTTTTTCGAAAAAGTGTTCATTTTTTTAAAATTGTTTTGTCTTCAAACAATGTTCACAAATTTGAAAAAATACTTGTGTTTTATAAAGTTTGGATTTTCAAAAAGTACTCCACTTTATAAAAATGTTTGAGTTTTGAAAAGATATTCTAAATTTTGGAAAACTGTTCAGCTGTTTTAGAAATGTTCAAAAAATTATAAGAAATAAGTCACACATTTTAACTATAATTTTTCATGTTTTAGAAAATGAAATAGAAAAGTTAAAAATCTGGGACCTACACCTCTCGTGTCAGCTCGCCACAGCACCCCGAGGGCTTACAGAGCAACGTAATAGGCTGGCACAGTCGGGGTTCCCTTGTGCGAAAGGGTTGCAATTTGATAAGCGTCGTATAAGAGCTCTTATCAAGAAGAACGCATATATCTCTTTTTTTAACATAGTACAGACGCAAACGCTTATACATACGCACATACACTCACTCTCTGAACACACACACACACCCTATCCATATGAACACCTTCGAGAGACTGAGCCGGCATATCATCTTGAAATTTACGAAGTCACCATAGGTGACTTGTCGTCGACGGGGACGTCTCCTCCCACTAAAAGCACATCGGCGGAAATTCTGAATAAATCCAGGAATAATGCGAGCACCGGGACTTGAACCCTGGTGGCATGTGATGCCGTTGTCCCTCTAACCATCCAACGACAGGTTGGTTCGCATATAACTCTCTTGTTGTGAGGTATACGGTTTCTCGAAATCACTAATTAAGGAGTACTTTTTCCAAAAGGTCACTTCCATCATCCTGTGCGCCAGTTGTCATAACCTGAGTGTTTTCTCTTCTTTCATAGGTTCGTCTATTCAAAACATTTTATATTTTAAACCATGCTTCCAAATTCTGATCTACTTACATCGTTAGATTTCTTGCATCGAGACCTTTGAACAAGATCCCATGTTAATATTTTTTGACGAAATTATTTATGAAAAAAAATCAAGAAAACCTGGATGAAGAAACCCGAGCAGGAAGCACGAGGTTTTTCCCCACTTTTTTCACTTTTCGAGAGGCAAGTTGTGCCTCTCGCGGAAGCAAATCTGTCCCTCCACGAGAAGCAAATCTATGCCTCTCTCAGAAGCAAAAAAAAATAAGTTTTTTCCTTCCCAAGAAGCACAGTTGTACCTCTCGCAAAAGTAAACATGTGCCCCCACGAGGAGCAAATCTGTGACTCTCATGGAAGCAAAAGAAAATGTTTTTTTTCCTTTCCTGAGTGCCTCTCCTGAGAGCAAATCTATGCCTCCACGAGAAGCAAATTTGTGCCTCTCATAGAAGCAAAAGAAGGAAAACATGTTTTTCCCCTTTTCGAGAGGCAAATTGTGCTTCTCCTGGAGCAAACTTGTGCCTCCACGAGAAGCAAATCTGTGCCTCTCATGTACGCAAAAAAGAAGTGTTTTTTTAAAATAAATTTTATTTTTTTTCTTTCAAAACCTTGAGAAAATAGGGCAAAAACCAAAAATACCCCCAAAAAAGTGTAAAACGTGAACGGAAAAAATACTGAGGGAGCACCCAGCACGCGACACGTGGCTGCGGCTGAGAGCACATGGCGGCGGCTGACAGCACGCCGTGTGATGCGACCTTAGACCACCAAAGGCTCCCGCAAGGGGTATTGGTTAGTTAGTTGCTCCCTAAGTTTGCTCGCATCGAGCACCCCCTAAATGGGCTGGCGCATCACGGGAGGAGCGATGTGTCTCTAGCGACCGTCTTTTTTTTGTTTCTATAACTTTTACTTATATTTATGATGTGGCAAAAAATTAAATAATTTCTGACAAACTTTCATCGTTGAAAATATGCTACTCCCTCCATCCATATATATAGGACCTAACACGTTTTCGAGATTGTCTTTGACTATTGATAAGATTAATACTATATGAGATATATAATGTAAAAATTATATCATTGGAAGCTCGTTTCACGTATGAATTTGACGGTATGCTTTGTGTAGCTTGCATGTCATATATTATTGATCTAAGATGTGGTCAAAGTTAGTCTCGAAAATTGCATTAGGCCCCATATAGATGGATAGAGGGAGTAACATGTTGTTACGAAAAAAGTCGATACAACTTCATAAGAATAATTAATGTTCAAAAATTCCATGCCATTTATAAAAAATTCCCGTCATTGCAAAAGAAAATGTATGTGACATTTAAAGAAAATGTTTAGAGGAAGCTCTTGATTCAATCCAGATTTTGGGTTCCTATGTTACGGCTTGTATGGTTGGGTGGACAAATAGTTCAATTTTATAGTTAGATGTTAGATTTATTCCAATGAAGTAGCCACTTGATGGTAACTTTTTTATGAATTTCAAGAAGTTTGACAGAAAGTTCTACTGTTGACCTTTGGGGGTAGGGTGTTTGGGCTTCCAAATTGAATTGAAATTAAAATTTTGCTCCTAATTCAGGAAATGCATGTGACGATTCTAACAAACTAAACATACAAATTTATCACAATGGCCTGTTTTGTGGGTTAGGCTCAAATCGTAGCTAACGAAAGAACATGTTGAAACGTTTGATGGCTGTCAAAGGAGATTTCGAACTTGAACCGTTTCATTTTTGAATTCAAAAAATAGCAGACATAAAAAAGTGAAACATTAGTGTAAGTATATGTCATCCTCGAAGAACGAAGTTTACAAGGTCAACACTCTGTTACAGTACGAATAGAAAATATCAAATTTATTTGTCTAATAGGAGATCTCCTTCTCACATGAGGCCTTTGTACCTGCCCAAACCCTCCCATTAGAAAAACGTCCATACATCGTAAGTATGAGAATTTCATTCGTGGGGACAAACCCAAGCAATTATCCATGATCAACTAAAAAATTAGAGTGTGTCCCTCAAATTTTGTATTCATGTTTTTTTTCATACGCTCATTGCCTTGATGGGATTGATGAACTACTCACCCCATTAAAAACATGAATGTATGTGAACTCCCAATAATTATGTAAATGTCCAAGTCAAGAAGTATATTGAAAATTTATTGTAGTTTGTAGAGTACATTCTCAGAATAAATTACCTGGTCCACCATAGTACATATGCATACCATGATTATCAACTACATAACCACCAATACTATATTTTGTTTTATCACTAGTTCCAAGAAGGTCTTTGTGTCTATTTGGAGTGACCAGCTTGTTGTTGATGTCAACAATCTGGATGTTTCTCATAAAAGCTGCTTTTCCATACCCTTCAGAGGCAAAATGCCCACTACCCATTTGTGCGGAGTCTGATGAAGCTGTTGGGCCCTGAACAAAACCACCCCAGTATGAGAAAATTCCTTTATCTTTAATGTGAGAGAAGAGTGAACTTGGCCAATATCCAATCGGTGTCTTTTCTTCACCATACATCAGCCACCAATTCGCCGTTTTGGGGTCCTAAGGAAAATCAAAATGCATGAAAGATTACTGAACACATACAATGACATATTATCCTCAAGCTATTATGCTAAATATCGAATGTTCTTGCAATTGTTTCTGTTCCTCTAAAGATATATAGGATGCATTCTTCTCGTAACATTTTCCCATACTAAGTGATGTACATCAAGACAATGCGTATGTGAATCCTTGAAGATCAAATGGTCTCCATCGTTGGAAGTGCTTATTGAATATGTGTTATTTTAATGGTAAGGTGACTGGTAATTTTATTTTGGGCCATGTTCTTGATATTTTTTCAAATTCCTGTCAAATGATAGTATGTGCGTATTGGAACACTACAAATAAAAGAAATGTTTGCATTCCAAAATTACACAATTGATATCATATTGAGCTACCTACATTTTTTGTGTGATCAACTAATTCATGTAAGTACAAATTTCCACATGCACCCCCTGTAAATTATATGTAGAAAACCATAAATTGCATTGACAAAGAGAGTACCTTGAAAATGAAAATGTCTATCACATATTGTGGTCCATTGTAGACTGAAACCGGAAGTACTCTTCCTCCAAGACCAACACGGTGACTAACTTGCACAAAACCAGGACATATGTGGTCGTAGCAAGGCTTGTGTAGTTTGCCATCACGCTATTATCCAAGTTCGTTCAAAGATAGAAACAAAGTACATGCGCTCAATTGCTAACTTGCAAAATAGATTTCATTCATATATAACATGGTGGAAAATGAGTCACACCACGACTTTGTACATATAGGATATTAATAACTAATTAAGGGGCACTTTTCCTATTAGGGCACATTGATGTGCCATTGGCATGGGAGTAGAAGAGAGAGGAAGAAGTAGCTGAAATCCCCCCTCGCAACGGCTGGGTTTGGAGTGACGCATATGGTGACCTTCCAAGATTGTTATTTTATACGTTGTTCCACATAATAGTTGTTATTATTGTGATCGACCACATATGGCGAGTATTCTAAACATGCTCTTACTATTTAGTTGAAAAAACTATCTGAAGAATTCTATATTTACTCCTCAAAATTTCTACTTTTTAGGACCTTTATGTTTGTGTGTGTGCATGCGCAGCGACGGGCCACAATTAAAGCAAATCCTGGGACAGGTTCTTTGGCAACATGCAAAGTTTGGCCCTTTTAACTTCCAACAAATACCATAAAAATTCCACATGCACACTGCATATAAAAATAAAAATTAACTAATGCGGAAATTGCATCCATAGCATTAACTTGGTCGCAGGTCGGCTAGTACGGGATGTGACACTGGTAGCAGGTTACTGCAAGGGTAGTGGGTAGCTGAGAAAGCATTGGGGGATGGTGGGCCACATGGTCGCCGAGTTGGGAGCTACTCCCTCCGTCCCAAAATATAAGAACGTTTAGTTTGGGACACAATTGTAGATTGGAAGGGATTTAGGTAGCTAGCTTTGATTCTTCGTATGCCTGGGCTATGATAGGCTACTGGTCTGAACCACGGCCCAATAAACAATGCATACATGTAATAGTAAAAATATCCAACTCCTGGGGCCTGGGCGTTGGTGCATGGGGTGTGGATCCATCATTGTGTATGTATTAATACAAACACGTGCTCATGTGTGTGTATTCTAAATTTCTGTGCTATGAAATTGACTATTCCACACTCCGAAACAACTAATTCACCTTACAACCTTCATTGTGTGATTAAACATTATCATTCAAATTAAAAAGACTTTGCATTGGAATTATCTTTGAGAATTTTATTTGGTTATTTTCCACGACTGTATTCAACTATATTGTACATTTTCTAGGCAAACAGCAACTTCTTGTTAGTTCTGCCATTACTATGATAACTAGATCATTATGACAAGAAAAAAACAAAAAATTAAAACTCACCTCTAGTTGTTCATCCTTGTTAATCACTTGCTCGGTGATATATGATGCTATATGTCCCATTCTATTATTACGTAGAATTGGAACCATCCCTTTCGGGCATTCGACAATAGACAGGTGTGCTTGTAAAACACCATTTGGGGAGGGAGGTTTTATACTTTCTTCAACCGGTACCGAACTTGGTTCCATCTATTTTATAATAAAACTTTATTACTAGCACACAATCACATATACAAAAAATTGTGTACTTTAATCCATTTCTAATGGAGCACGCATATCATAAGTTATATTTATTTCACTCTGAGGTCCATTGTTTGAAGAAATATACTTAAATAATAGATAAACATTATGATTTGAATCTAAAGGGAGTAAAACAAACTATGCTATGAAATTCATGTATATGTGGCAACTAACTATTCATTATGTCTTCAGTCATGAATCGACGTCCATTTTAGCCACATAATGTTTGTAACTCATGTCTTGATGAATGTAATTTACCTGAATTTTGTGATATTTCAACAATGGGTGATCCAAAGTCGGTTGGACACTCACATCGATGCAATCATATACATCTCCACCTTCCATCTAGTTTTATGTTCATCTGCTTGTTAGCCACTGAAACCAATGCTATGTATATATATAATATGATGTGGAATTGTTCTTACCATGATAGTTTTATTAACATTTCTATGGGCAAGGATCTCTTTGTTGGTCTCCCTTTGCATTGTAGCTATATCTATTCATCTGGTTACTAGAACAAGATATGAGAGTAGAAGGAGCGCTCTAATAGCTTGCCTTTCTCCCATTTTGGAAACCTTGAATGGTCAATTTTCATACTGCATATCAACTATATTTATAGGCTTTCTGGCATATCGATAGTTTAATGGTTGTCATTCATTGAATTAATGCTCCAAAGATCAGTTTTTTTAATATGTATGTACACCCATATTATTAATGTCAAAGGATAAAGTTATGTATCTCAGTATATCATTCACATTTATTTCATAAATCTCAGATTGTTAATGCCATACAGACAATATGAAGTATTTAATGCAGAGAAATATCCATAACTATCCATTGTATTTAATCCGGATATGAAAATGTGATCCATCTAGCTCTCTCAGGCCCTCAACACTTCTTTTTATGCAATCAAGTGTGACGTAGGGATGGCAAAATGGCGAGTTTGGAGGATATATGGCCATATATCCATGAGCCTATCCACTACCCACCCGTGAAAGTATCCATGGGCCACAGACGACGTCCACACCTACACTGCTAGATATCCAGATGTACAAGGATAATCATATCCTTGTAAAACCGATAACAATTGTACATGGAACAAACAATGATGGTAATAAAAAGGTCAAGTAGCATCATAGACTACAGAAATTAACACCTTTGCACACCAACACAACTACTAATGTCAGACCAAAATACGGTTAATATACATAATGGTCGATACGGAGTTATAACATGTTATATGACCCATGTCAATCCATGTCTCACTATTCAAATTGGCATCCATCGGGTACCCGTGGATGAAGATATGAATCCATGACCAACCCATCATTCACACCTATCCACCCTTGAAGATCCATGTGTACAAAAGGTCCTCCAAATTGGGATATATGTATCCATGGATAATATTTCCATGCCTAAATGTCATGCATGTTTCTCATTGTAGGATTTCTCTGCAATTTTGTGATTTCTTGTGAGTGGGCCTGATGTCCTATATGCAACATTGGCAGTGGAAAAATGGCCTACTCTAGTCGACTAGGCTATGTGCACCCGCGAGTGTACGGTCTATTGATGAAACAAGATGACCCATTGCGCCAATTAGCGCTGAGAGCAACTCCAACTTGCAAGTTAAGTGAGTTGTATGAAACTTAAAAGGAAGTCAAGTGAACTATTTGAAGAGATCAGGAAGAGAAGTAACTTAGACAACCAAAAATTTAGGTGAGATTATTTATGGATGTTTGTATCTGCATTGCCCATGCTTGCCTCTTATGTAAAACTAGATGACTCCTTGTGCAATTGGTACATAGACCAACTGCAACATACAAGTTAAACGAACTATATGAAATATAAATGGAAGTCAATTGAACTATTTGAAAAGACCAACTCTCGATCCCACACTCGCTCGCCTAGCCGCCTCCTCTCCTGCGCTGGTTCCCCTACTGCCTCTCTAGTGCCGCCGCCGCCCATATCCCCTCGCACTTCCCGTCGCTGAGCTCAAGCTGCAGAGACGCACCGGTACTCAGCCCGAGCAGCATGCTCCATTGCTTGTGCCAGATCTGCGCACCCCTCCTCGTCGGCCCTTAGACGAGGGTCAGCGCCGCCGCAAGTTCATCTCGCTGCTTGCGCCCCACCACCTCACTGCTTGTTCTCTGCTTTCCCTCCTCGATGCTCAACAAGGAGAGCACATGCCACCACTCAGCACTGTGGCTGGGTCGTTCCTCCACCTCGCAAATCACCAAAGGAGCTCGGGTCACAAGCACACCACGCCATTTTATAAAAGCATTCACCATTTTATAAAAAATGAAAAGAATTCGAAAAGAATTCACAAAAAGTTAAAAAAAATGTTCATGAGTTGGAAAGTATTCACCATTTTATAAAAGTTCACACATTCTTGCAAAGTTAAAAAATACTAACAAATCTGAAACAAAAAAGATCTTGGATTTGAGAATTGTTCATGAATTTTAAAAAAAGGTCATGGTTCGAAAGTTTTTCCAAAATTTAAAAATATTTCACAATTTTCATAGAAGTTCACAGAAATGATAAATACAGTTCATTAAAACTAACAATTAAATAATTTAAAAGGATTTAAAAAAAGTAAAAAAAGAAAAGCTGAACAAAAGCCGACCTAAAAAATCCAAGGAAAATCTACCCAAGAGAAAAATGATGGAACCTGTTAGATGGCTCCCAAAACCAGTTAGAAAAACCTACATGAGCCGGTCCATGTAGAAGCTACACGAATGGGAGATGTGAGTGCGTTATACCTTAGCGTGTTAACCGGCGCGTCAAATGCCACATAGGAACCCGTCCAGGAATAGCTGCCGCGCCCGTCCAGGAAGAATCACGTACGAAAATTTCAAACATAACTCCCATAACAAAGGTTTCTTTAGTGGTATGACAACAATTTTTCTGAACCCAAATCCTATTTGGCGTCCTTTCCGCCCGATACAGTTGTTTCCACAAACGGGCACACACACCCCCTCCCTTCGTTCGCTACTAACGGTCGGACCTCTCGCTACATGAGACGACGCAACAACCGCCGCGCCACCAAGCTTGATGTGATAACTTACATCTTTTTTATCCTTTCTTCTTTCATCTTTCCTTTTTCCCTTTTTTCAAATTCGAGATAATTTCTTTCTTCACTTTTTTTCCGGAAAAATGGATGAACTTTTTGTTTACAAATTCACTGAACTTTTTCCATAATGGATGAACTTTTTTCAAATCTGGCGAACTTTTTTTCAACTTCGATGAACTTTTTTTGAATATAATGAACTTTTTCTCAAATTCGATAAACTTTTTTTGAAAATAAATGAACTTTTTTCATATTCGATAGAATTTTTTAAAATTTGATGAACTTTTTTCAAATTCAATGAACTTTTTTCGTATTCGATGATTATTTTTTTCAAAATTGATGAACTATTTTGCAAATTCTATGAACCTTTTCTAAATTTCAATGAACTTTTTTTCACATTCGATGAACTCTTTCCTAAGAACAAGAGTATGTACTGTAGAAAACCGGTTGGTTTTTTTCCTAACAGAAATCATGACATAATGTAGCAATTTTGGGGAAGAGAAAAGAAAAAACAAGCGATCGAGTGGGCGGCTAGCGCGCGTTGCTGGGGCAAGCCCATGCAAGCGACGCAGCGGGCGCTGGGTTCGCTAACGGGGGCGCCGAAGGCGGGAATTCCCTATTACACGCACGTTTCATCTAAATGTCGACCTTTCGCACACTACCGGCTCACTAACGGGGTTGCAGCACTTTCTGTTTTGGGAACCATCTAGTGTTTCCCAGCCAGTTTTCCTGGTTTTGGGACCTTCTAGAAGGTTCCCTGAACCGGTTTTCCTATTTCTTTTTGGATTTCGTTTTTTCTTTTAGTGTTTTTTTTCTTGTTTATTTTTTCTTTTCATTTTGCTGTTTCCTTTTTCTTTCTCATTTCAGTTTTTATTTTCGCCTTCTTTTTCCTTTTTCATGTTGATATTTGTATTTTTTTAAATTCAATTTTTTCTGATTTTAAAATATGTTCCACTTTATAAATATCCTCATAAATTCAAAAAATGTACAAGAATTTTAAAAAACTTTCATGTATTTGAAAATTTGTTAATAAATTTAGAAAATGTCATATTTCATAAATACTTCTGGAATAGTAAAAAAATGTTTGCGGTTGAAAATTTTGGTCTGAAATTAAAAAATGTTCGCATTTGAAAAAGTTTTCTGGAATTTCAAAACATGTTCGTGGTTTTAAATTTCTTGTTAGATACTTCATGTAGTTTCACTTTCAAATACTTGTTCACAAATTCAAAAAATGCTTGTGGTTTCATAATTTCATCAAATGTTGCATATTCAAATATTTGTTCAAAAATTCAAAAAATGTCATGGTTTCAAATTTTGTACAAAATTTCATAATTTGTTCACAACTTCAAAAGCTGGTTCAGGTTTTTCGAAAACATTTTCTGCGGTTTCAACTTTTTGTTCACATACGCGAAAAAATGTTCCTGTCTTTTCCTTTCCTTTTTAATTTTTCATTTTATTTCTCCTTTTTCATTTTTCATGTTGACATTTCTTATTTTTAAATTCATTTTTCATATTTTAAAATATGTTCTGCTTTAGAAAATATGTTCCTAAATTCAAAAAATGTACCAGAATTTCAAAAAATGTTCATCTATTTGCAAATTTGTTCACAAATTTAGAAAACGTTCATATTTCAAATATACCTCTGAAATTGTAAAAAAAATGTTTGCAGTTGCAAAATTTGATCCGAAATTGAAAGTTCACGTTTCAAAGTGTACAGGAATATCAAAAAAATGTTCGTGCTTTCAAATTTTTTTGTTAGATATTTCATGAAGTTCCATTTTCAAATATTTGTTCACAAATTCAAAACATGTGTGCGGTTTCATATTTTCGTAATTTCATCAAATGTTGCATTTTCAAATATTTGTTGAAAAATTCTAAAAATGTTTGCAGTTTTGAAATTTGTTTTGTATTTCATAATTTGTATAGAACTTCAGAAAATGGTTCATGTTTTTTTGAAACATTTCCTGCAGTTTTCATTTTTTTTGCATATGTGAAAAGATGTTCCTGTCTATGATTTTTTTCAGATATTCAAAAAATGTTCGCACTTTTTCAAAATATACAATTTCAGAAAAAATGTGCACTTTTTTTAAAGATGTTCGGTAGAGTAACTAGATCCGGTTTGATACAGTAGACAAGTCCGGTTGTGCTCGGTTATTTAAGTTGCGCGTTGGTTTGGTACAAGCAATGGAAGACAGCTGGAGTAGTTGGGAGGATGCATGTGCAAGCCTATGGTTGCTGGTTTGATTCCTTCAATGCGAGTTCCTATACGACGCATTTTGCGTCATGAAGAAACTCGACGCACAGGGTGGACGTGCGACTGGGCCGGCCCACCAACGCGCCCGTTCGTTGTTTTCCTATCACGCGATAGCACAGCACAGTCGCACGTACATAAAGGTGCACATGCACAGTCATAACTGTCATAACTGTGAGCCATTAGCCACTAAGCCAGAGAATGGCGGATGTACATAAAGGTGCAAAACACTATAAGAATACACAGTAAGGTTGAGATTTGAAAAACATTCCTTCAAAGTTGCAAACAGTTTTGAAATCACGCAATTATTTTATATATTACAAACAGTTTTCGAAAAAAGTGATGTTCTATTTCCTTTTTTGGAAATTCCTAAATATTTTCTAAGACCACAAATTATATTTTTAAACAAAAATTGAAAAACACATTTTTTTAATTCAAACCCAAAAGAAATAAAACATGAATATTTTTTAAAAATGCGAACAATATTTGTATTCATATGTGTTTTGGAAATGCGAACAAAAAACACAGGGATATTTTTTGAAATTGCGATCACAATGTTGAAACCGCAAACATTTTTCAAACATCAACATTGTTCTGAAATTGTGTTTCTATCTGAAAACGAGAACATTTTTTGAAATTCCCGAACATTTTTTGAAACATGAACATTTTTCTGAAATTGTGAACAAATTACGAAAACAAGAACATTTTTTGAAACCTGGATTTCTTTGAAATTGAGAACATATTTTGAAAACGAGAACAAATTTTGAAATATTGTGAACATTTATCGAAATTGTGAACTAATATAGAAAACAATAATTATTTTTAAAACAAAATTAATTTTTTGAAATAGTGAACAACTTTTGAAAATCATGAACAATTCTTTTGAAACAGGAACATTTTTCCAAATTCCAAAACAAAATTTGGAAATCTGAACATATGTCAAAATTCCTGAACAAAATTTGAACGAGTTTTTAAACTTGTGAACATTTTTTAAAGGAACATTTTTGAATCTCCTGCAAAAATGAAACAGGAACATTTTTAAAATTCCCAAATATGAACACATTTTGGGATTTGTGAAGAATTTTTAAAACAGGAACATTTTTTAAAATTGTGAAAAAATGAAAAAAAAAAACATTCCAAACGTCATCTTTTTTGCTGTTTTTTCGTTCTTAACAGCGTCCCGAACGGTCGCGTCGGCCTTGTTTGGGCCAGGTCTAGGTGGGAACCGCGTGGGCGCTAGTAAGCCATAGCGGCGCTAAAGGCGCGGCTTAGGAGCTCCCGCGCTCGGTTCTGAAACAGAAAAATCCGTGGTGTTCGAGCTTGCTGGGCGTTGGGCTGCTCTCTTGGCCCGTCGACGGTCCAGCAGGCCCGGCTCCGACCCCGGCGAAAGCGAAGGCACGCACGGGCACGGACCGCTATCCGATGCCGTCCGGTTCAAAAAAATATCTCTCGCTCGCTCGCGTGGATTTCGTGAAGCAATTCCCATTCCCATTCCCATCCTCCTCACTCCCCCCGGCCACCATGGTTGCGGCGGCCGCCGGCGTGCCCCCCTCCTCCCTCCTCCGCCTGCGCCTCCCCTCGCCCCAGCCCGCCGCCTCCCCGCCCTCCTCCTCGCCGGCGCTGCTCCGGCCCCGCGCGCCCCGCCCCCTCCTCTCCCTCGCCGCCGCGCCCCAGCGCGCCTCCGTCGCCGCCGCCGCCGCCGACTCCAGCAACGGCAACGGCTCCTACTCCGGTAACGGGTACGCGGCCCCGCCGTCCCCCGCACGGTTCGTTTTTCCTTTGTTTTCGCGGCAAGGCCGCGCGCTCTGGCCTGATGTCGCCGTGGCGAGTGCGCCTGCGGGGTGTTCGACGGAATGCCTCCGCGTCGTGCCGAGTCTGTTCACCCGGAGAGCCAAGGCCAGATAAGTTAGCTGCAGCGGACGGCGTCACTGACAGGGCTAAATATTTCACTAGATGATACCAGTAGCGGTCATGCCACTGAACCGCGTCCATCCATAGCCATAGGCAGCTTATTTGAGTCGGTAGTGGCTTCCTACATACATATCAATATCAATTTCTCTCTATTTGTTGTCATGCACGGCAAAGATCGTCAATTACGACTTTCTCTTTAGGTCCTGATGCAGTTAGCTGCTTGCCTGTCGATTTCATTCAGTTGAAGCACTTTCATGATGCACCCTGCCCTCTTTCATTTGGCAGCAGTCAGGCATCGCTGATGCCACAGTTCAGCGGCCTTATGCTTGATGAAAGCTCCAGGTCTAAAAGGCCGTATAAATGGCAAAGGGTTTTGCTAAAGGTAAGCGGCGAAGCGCTTGCCGGGGATCATACGGAGAACATTGACCCAAAGGTGAGGCTGCTTTTTGGAGGTGTATCTTTGAATTTGAACGGCTCATGTGTGTGTGCATCATGTAGTTAATGTAATTACGTGGTCTGTCGCAGGTTACAATGGCAATTGCAAGAGAGGTTGCTTCCGTCACCAAACTAGGCGTAGAGGTGTGCCATCCGTGATGCCTTCATTTTTTTGCTGGTTATTTATTGGGTTACGTTTATGGACAATGAAACTGATTCATTCCAAATAGATAGACTGGCACCAAATGAAGTGAATTTGGGTTGTTTCGGTCTGATGGTATTAATTCAACACTTGAATTGCAATGCATCCCAAGCCAGAGTTCTCATGTTATGTGTATATGTTTCTCTTGTCTTCTCTAGTAAAATAATGTGCTGTGCATTTAAAAAGGAGAGCAATTGCAGGTTGCTATTGTTGTTGGTGGCGGCAATATCTTCCGTGGGGCCTCTTGGGCTGGATGTAGTGGTCTTGACCGCTCCTCGGCGGATTACATCGGGTATGAATTATACTCCATGCCTGTTGTAAACTGCAGTATTAAATAATTCTATCAACCTGCCAAATAGCCTAGAAAAGAAGTTCAAATGCCATGAGATGTGCTATGAGCTCGAGCCATGCAATATCAACACATTTTGGTAGGAGCAGAGTGTGCTTGTTATTTGATTCATGCCAACTATTTGGCCAGTTTAATGTTTGTGCTATTATGGTTCATTGTGCCCATTACGTAAGCGCATTTATATCTGCTAGAACAAGAATTTCATTTCAATAATCAACTGAATGTAACTATAATTGCATCTCATAAACCATAATTCATGCCAACTTTTTTGCTAGTATAATATCTGTAGTATCATGGCTCACCGCACCCATCGCGTAAGCACATCCTAATCTGCTAGAATAGGAATTTCCATTGACTAATTAACTTAACTGAGTGTAACAATAATTGCATCTTACAAACCATTTAATCCATGACTATATATTGTCTACATTTTTGTGCAAGCTCAAGGCTACCTGTAATTTATAACCTAGTTTCTGTCCATTATTTTTTTTGTTACAAAGGCATTTCTTGTTAAGTAACCACATGATTTGTCGTTATAATAAATAATTTGGGGCTGAATCTGCCCGTGCAACCTTTTTCCTGCTTTCCCCCAATTCAGTATGATGGCCACTGTGATGAATGCAATATTTCTTCAAGCAACAATGGAGAGCATTGGGATACCGACCCGTGTCCAAACTGCATTTCGTATTTCAGAAGTCGCAGAACCATACATACGCCGAAGAGCAATCAGGCACTTAGAGAAAGGAAGAGTTGTTATATTTGCTGCTGGGACAGGGAACCCATTCTTCACAACTGATACAGCTGCTGCTCTCCGTTGTGCAGAAAGTGAGTTCGTCCTTAATCTTCGCTATGCAGTATGAACCGCTTTAATCATTAAAAGTTGGAGAAATTTCTTTCGCTTAGAAAAACTGGTGCTTATGAATGGTTCTTGATCGTCCAGTGTCTTCTCATGCCATAGGTTTAGCTACATATATGTAATACTGTGAAACATTCAGTGTATTTTTTTCATCTTATTAATGGTCATGCTCCTTGCAACTGTGGCTAATGGGACTACATGACCACCCACATAAGCACTCCACTGAGTTTATTTGATGTTGTATTAAGTATTAATGAAGATCCCTGTGCGTATTAAGTTGAAAATGAAAAATAACAGTCCAACAAGTAGGTTAGAGAAACAATGCATCTATTTAAGCTGGTTTCGGGTTCTAGCTTTATTTTTCTGGGTCAGTTACAGTGTATTTACCTTTTTTTGTATTAATTAGTGAATAGCAGTATGGTTACAATCATGGTCAACTTGGCCCAGCACGCAGGCCGGCACAACGTTTAGCAAAAAAACAACCACAGTACAGATCTACAGTATTGTGCTAGCCCATGGGCAACATTGTTGGCCTCTAGTTATAGTGTGTCTACTAATTTCTTTACATAAACAGTGATAAATCACAATCTGTGTTGTGCCTATAGAAACATATTATTATGAGGTATAGGCTACTTTCGAAATGAACAGTACTGTTTGAATAGTAACTTTTTTTTTCTCTATTTATTTTGCCTTGACCATTCTTCTTGTATTATGTGTATAGTCAACGCAGAGGTAGTGCTCAAGGCAACAAACGTTGATGGTGTGTATGATGCGAACCCCAAGCATAACCCAAATGCCCGCATCCTCGAGACAGTGAGCTACAACGAGGTGATCTCAAGAGACCTCTCAGTAATGGACATGACTGCCGTCACACTATGCCAGGAGAACAACATTCCTGGTACGGGCGATATCGGTTTCTGAGGCTTCTTACTGTTTCCGATCGTCGATTTTAATCTTGGTGCTTAACTTTGCAGTTGTCGTGTTCAACCTGCAAAACACTGGAAACATCGCGAAAGCCATCGTCGGCGAGAAGGTCGGTACCTTCATAGGCTGCACAAGGAATCTGGAATACCGCGAAAGCACGGAGGGTTCGCTGGATCAAGAAGACAAGATCTTGGTTAGTGAGTGGTGAATCCAAGAGCTGTCTGTCTCCCTAGCTGGATTATAGAATAGGTTAGCTATCCAAGTAGTACCGGTTCAATTGTAATACTCGAAGAAGAGAAACCGCTGCTATGCTGTGTATGATAGAATGAATGTAGGAGTAGTCTCCTGTGGCATGTATGGTATGGTGGCTGAACCTAAATAATACTTCTATTGCTCCTGATGGTGTTGGTGAGCAACAGAAGCTGAGGGTTTCTAGTCTGGTTTCCTCTCTATCTTCTTTACTGGAAAAACTGTGGGAGGTCGAAACGGTATATTTTATTTTGAAAAACGTAGATAATATTTACAAGACTGAGATCAATGCCATTTGATATTACATATCTGCCCTCAAATGTGCCGTCCATGTGTGACTGGCATGTGGGCCTAAGAAAAGAGAATGTCCAATGTTGTGCTAGTACAATACCATGGAGGGAGTACAAAATTTGGACTTGACAGAAAATCTGCAAAGTACCATGGAGCGCATGGCTGTTTTCCAAATGACCCACATATTTTTGCAAGTAACAAGTTGCCCAAAAGTAAATGTTATTTTCAGGAGAAAACGTACATGACATTTGACAATTCAAGCATTTCTTGTGCCAGTGAGGTGGTTCCATCATTCATGATATAACTTCCTACAGTATTCTACCGCAACTGTAATCTAAAAGGAGTGAAAAAAAGATCCCCTTGGAGAGAAAAAAAACACTAACACAAATGATGTAACTTACCACCGACAAATTCAGTGAGGGAGAAGATGCGATTTCAAACTTTGGAAAAGAAAAAAGAAAAAGCCGAGTACTAAAGAGGACAGGGTTCTCCTTTGTAAGATTCAAAAACAGTAAATGCCTTAAAGTAATGACATGTACTTTTTGTTGTGAAATAATTCTTTTAAAATATGAAACAAAGGACATATCGCAATAATATCGTTCCTGTCTCTCCACATGGGTGATAATCTATTCACTACACTACGGTGGGTGGAGATATCAACCCTAGTCAGCGCTCGTGAGATGATTTCACTTGACACAAAAAGATGCATTAACTCTTCATGACAAGGCATCATACGAAACACCCATATCGATTTCACGAGTCAATGCATTGTTTTCGTACGACCCACATAACTTTATTGACCTAATGCATCTTCATCGTTCATTCCACCCTCGATAGTCCAATAGGACCAAAGATAAAACTCCCCTCCCCTGAAGGACAAAAAATGTAATCTATATGCCATAACTTTGAAACTGGTGGAACATACAATGTGGTTTCAAATTCTGAAAAAAAAGGTCATGTGGTAATGTGGATATGTTCTCTTTTTGATTTTTTTTAAGGTAGTAACATCTACTTCTATAGCAAAAATGGATCTAAAATATGAAACAAAGGTCATATCACAGCAATCATTCCTATCTCTCCACATGGCTGGTGATATATTCACTACACCATGGTAGGTGAAGCTGCCAAACATAGGATTTGTCGGTGCTCACAAGATATTTTCATGTGACTCATAAAGGCACATCAACTCGCCGCAACAAGGCATTGTGCCATATGATAACCATTTCACGTGCGCGGCTTATCCGTACAATCCGCATAACTTCATCAACCTCATGTTTTTCATTGTCCAAAACAGACCGTACTGCATTATTCTACGCTCCAACAATAGTCTAAGAGGACCCAAATAATACTCATGTCCTTTGAAGAGACAAGTGCTAAACTATATGCCATAATTTGGTACTAACAGAACTGGGAAGCAAGACTATGTGATTTCAAAATGGTAGAAATAAGAATAAAGCCACATGATAATGTGGATGAGGTTTTGTTTTTCAAAAGATGGTGATCTATTTGCTATGCTGCAGTAGGTGAACATATCAACCCTAGGGTTTTATCAGCACTCGCATGATGACATCTACGATAGAAAAGATGCATCAACTCTTCACCACAAGGCATCGCACTCGTAATTAACACCCATATCCATTGCATGTGCACGGTAGTGTCTGTACGACCTACACAACGTCATTGCCCTCGTGTGTTTCATTGTTTTCCATTGTGTATAGAGTTAATTGCATCCATTGTACGCAAACTTGCATGGTGGGTGAAATAAAAAAAACTTCAAAAGTAACACAAATTGATCACACGAGTCAGATTTCCGTCAACTATAACACCAACTATGTGGACATGGCGAGTCGGCATGAGAGCAGGCCAACACACTCTCAAAATCGAAAAGCGTTAATGGATTCATTTGAATTATGAAACAAATGACATATCACAATAGCATTGTCTCTCCATGTACGTGGTGGTCTATTCACTACACCACGGTAGGTGAGCATATCATCTCTAGGATCGGCGCTCGCACAATGATTTCCTATGACTCAAAAGACGCATTAACTCTTCGCGATAAGGCATCATATGGAACACACACATCCATTTTCACGTGCGAGTGTAACTGTGTCCGTACAATCCATGTAACTACATTAACCTCATTTCATCGTTCATAGTGGAATACACTACATTATTCCATCCTCGATAGTAATCCAATAGGACCAAAATATAACTCCCGTCCCCTGAAAAGAAACATTGCTGATCTATATGCCATATTTTGGTAATCTCAGAGATGGTGTGATTTTAAAATTTTGAAAAATAGTTAAAGTCACATGGTAATATGGAGAGGATCTCTTTTATAATCTTTTAAAAATGCTTGAAAAACGTAAAGTCTAATTTTTTTATAGTGGAATAAATATCACTACTGGCATTTGTTATTTACTCTAAGTATGAATATATCGTAATACTATTGTAGTTTAATATCTTACACTAATATTGTCCATATCTCTCCACATGGGTGATGGTCTATTCACACCAGCGCGGTAGGTGAACAATGAACCCTATATTTTTCTATGCTCGCAAGTTTTCACGTGGACTCGAATACATACGGTACGATATCGTACGGAATACCCATATCCATCCATTTGCTAGTGAACAGTGTCTTTACAACCCTCATAACTCCGTCAACCTCACATATTTTTCCCATTCATCAATAGAACATTCTACATTATCCGAACCTCCAAGAACAACTCCAAAACTCTTAGAAGAAAAATCAACAACTCATAAGTACAAAAAAGGGAAATAATAATTGTCAAACGTTCCCTAGGAGGGAGATCTTAGTGAACGCCCCCACAACCATTGGATTCAGATCAAATGGATGGCAAAAATAAATAAATCAAAATCATTGGCATTTTTTGGCGATACATGGCAACTTTATCTTCCGATCATGAAAAGTTCTGTAAAATTGCCATGACAACTTTAGTTGAAATTGCATGACAATTTGAGCGTTCGTTGGGAAAATGCTCCCACAGAACGTTCCCCAGATATTACCATCCAAAAAAACCTCCATTGGTAACACCAGGGAGCGATTTCAAGTTCAGGGGAAAAGGCCGCGTGGCAATTCAGAATGAGGTCTCCTTTTCAATTTTTGAATAGAATAAATGCTCAGAATTAATAACAACCAATTTACAGCAAGATATTTCCCTTTTAAAAATTTGAAAACAATAATTGCTCGAAATTAATAACATCCAATTTACAGGAAGATATTTGCATTTTAGAGATTTTAAAATAATAAATGGTCGAAATTAATAACGTCCAATTTACAGGAAGATATTTCCGTTGTAGAAATTTGAAAATAATAAATGACCGAAATTAATTCCGTCTACATTTCCAGCGAGAGAATATATTCTTTTTGGCCGGCGTTTATTAATTTCCAAAAATATCAGTCCACCGCAATAATGCCGTCTCTATCTCTCCATGCGGGCGCTGGCATGCTCGCATCACCCTCCAGCAGGTGAACCTATCATCTCGAACAGATTTCTTCACGCCAACGGTCGATCTCACGTAATTAAACAAAAAAAAACATTTTAACCCTTCGCGCCACGGCACCGCACCGCACGTGCCCGTTCCCGCGCTGTAACATTGATGATTTTCCACACCAGCTTTCAATCTCACGTAATTCAAAAAAGAATGTGTTAACCCTTCGCGCCACGGCACCGCACGTACTCATTCCCGCGCTGTAACCGAACACGCGCGCGGTACCCTCCCGCATTGTCCCGCGCTCCAGCATTGGTCCAAGAGGATCGAAACAAAATCACCTGGCTTGTGAACACAATGTATGTGAGTGTGTGTGAAAGGATTTCAAAAGATTTTGAAATTTTGGATCCTTAAGAGGAAAGAAACTGATGGGCTCAACAGAATTTGGCAGGCAGCAAGGAGGGTTGGGCCTTGGGGAGGGGCGACATTTCCAACGGTCACCTCCGGGTTTCTCCTATTTACGCACCTCCCCCCCAACGGCGAAGGCGACACAGAGTGAGAGGAGCCCACCGGCCTCGCCGAGTCACAGCCGCCCCCCCCCACCCCCACCCAACCCCTCCCTCCCGTCCCCCCATGGCACCCCTCGCGCCGTCGACGAGCTCGCCG